AGTACGCCCCCTTGCAGGCGTCTCGACTGTGATATTCTGCGTGCTGTGCTGCTGAGCTAGGTGTGGTGACTGCTCTCACTTCTTAGCTCTATGACAGGTATCTTATAGTGGAACTGCAGGGGCGTGAGAACTAGTCTACACGATCTCAGAGTCATTCTGAATCGGCGCTATCCGGCCATCGTCTGCCTGCAGAAGACCAAACTGGCACCTGGCTCTCAGTTTAGTATCCCGAGCTGCACCGTAATGCGTCGGGATACGCCAGATGATTCAGTTGCACGCGACGGAGTTTTTTTGGCTGTGCACCACAGTGCCTCCGTCCAACGCGTCGTCTTACACTCTGACCAGCAAGCTGTCGCAGCTAAGGTACTTTTCGGGTGTTGTGTGATAACCGTCTGCTCGCTTTACTTACCTCCTGGTACTCCGTTTATGACGTCAGAAATGAGACTTCTGTTGGCCGAGTTTCCCAGGCCTCTCTTCTTTTGCTGGGCAACTTCAATGTTCACCACACATCTTGGGGTTGTGCCCAGACCAACACTCGCGGCCGGCATTGCGAAACTTTTTTACACGATGAACCTCTGTCTTTTAAACAACGGAACCCGAACTCAAAGGATGCTGCCGTCAGGTCAGACATCTGCGCTGGACTTGAGTTTTGCAAGCCCCCAACTGGCGGTACACCTGACATGTTCGGTGAAAACGACTCCTTTGGTAGTGGTCACTACCCCATCTGGTTGTGTCACCAGAACGGAGCAGCTCTCGGCTCCAGGCCACAACGGTAGAATCTTAGAAAGGCTGACTGGGATGAATTTCAGGCACGGGTGGAAACCAGGTTGGCTTCCGTTTCGGCGGGTGAGCCTGCATCTGTAGAGGAGCTTACCTCCACAATCTTACGATCGGCAGAAGAAAGAATACCACGTACATCCGGTGTCCCACGCCGTCCCCCTGTTCCGTGGTGGACGGACCAGTGCCGCGACGCTACACGTGCGCGTTAAAAAAAAAAAACTGTGAGACTTTGATGGGCACAGCACTACGGACAACTTAATCGCTTTTCGACGAACTCGGGCGGCAGCCCGCCGTACTACCATGGAGGCCAAGCGTACGTCTAGGCGTTTATATGTGGGCCAGCTTAATTGTCAAACGCCGGTTTCGGTGGTTTGGGCGCGGGTGAAGCGTATAGCAGGCCAACACTCCTCAGTGCCGCACCGCGTGCTCCGTATGAATGGCCATGACGCAATGCACCCATCTGATTTGGCGAATGAAATGGCTCGTGTGTTCGCGGGGCGTTGTGGGTGAACAACTGCCGCTCCCGATTTCATACGCCGTCGTGCTCGTTGCGGAGCAGCTCAGATAAACTTTCATGCAGCCGAAGAGTTTTCATATAACAAGCCTTTCACAATGCTTGAACTGATGTCTGCCATTAACTCTGCGCAGCGTGGCGGAAGGTCCGGATTTCATTCATAATGATATGCTGCGGTGACTTCCATCAACAGCAACACAAGCTATGTTGGTGGCATTCAACCGGTTGTGGGAGACAAGAGAGTTCCCGACGCCTTGGCGAGAGTCGCTAATAGTTCCGCTGTTGAAGCCTGGTGAGAATGGGAAGGATCCATCGGACTACCGTCCAATTGCGCTGACCTCCTCTATGTGCGGACTTCTGAAGTGGATGGTTCAGACACGATGTCTTGGTTTTTAGAAAACAACAATATGTTCTCAAACGCCCAGTGTGGTTTCAGGAAAACCGCAGCGCCATTGATCATCTTTTAGCCTTGGACTGAACTGTGGGCATTTCTTTTAGGGAAAGGTGACATGTAGGAGCTGTGTTCTTCGATATCGAAAGGGCTTACGACACCACCTGGCGATATGATATCTTACGGAAGCTGTTCCAGTATGGCATACGCGGAGCTATAGGTACCTTTCTTGCGAACTTCCTTGCTGACCGCTTCTTCCGCGTCCGCGTTGGTTCCATATGCTCGAAAAGATACACCCAAGAGAGCAGCATACCCCGGGGCAGTGTTTTGAGTGTTGCGTTGTTTGCCGTCATGATAAATGATGTTGGTGACAGTCTTCCCCAGGCGATCGGTCGCTCGCTTTTTGTTGATGACCTCGCCATCTGGTGCAGCTCTGCAGCGGCAACGTCCGTGTCGCGCCAATTGCAGTTGGCTGTGGCTCGCTTAGAAAGATGGAGCATGCTCAACGGGTTACGGTTTTCGACCTCGAAGACAGTCTCCGTCCACTTTTGTCGACACCGGCGTCAGTGTCCCGACGTGGTGCTTAAGCTTTATGGACAGTCGATCCCCTGCAATACGGCGACACGGTTTTTGGGATTACATTTTGATAGGCATTTCATTCATTCATTTCATTCTGCGTGACAAGTGTTTTAAAACACTGAACATACTAAAATGTGTGGCACGAACATCGTACGAAGCAGATCGGAAAACACTTTTATTGTTATACCGTTCACTGATACGCCCCAAGCTGGACTATGCGTGTTTTGTATATGATGGCACCTCTGAGTCCGTAAAACGCACATTGAATGCGGTCCATCATGCTGCGTTGAGAATCATTACTGGTGCATTTCGTACGTCTCCGACAGCCAGCTTGCTTGTGGAAGCCAACGAACCTTCGCTGGCTACCCGAAGGCAGTTGTTTCGCGCCCCCTCGGGTCCCAGCTCCGGTAACGGGTGGACAGCACAAGCTGCTCCTCTCAGGGTGCAGCGACCCTGCCGGTACGTGAGCTCCTGCTCCTTATCCCACCCGCTCCCTCCACATTGCCCACGCTCCCGCATCCGGTCCTATCACCACTCCTCGTCCTCGTTTTATCGGGGTTGCCGTGCCCCCTCGCCCACGTCCCCGGGTTGATCGGATCCTGGTGGCTGAGGGGCGCGTCGTGCGGGTCAGTCACGGCGCGTCCCAACACTCCACTTTGGCCAGGATATCCGGGGGCGTGGGGGGTCAGCCAGCGGCTGTTCACTCTCGCGAGCCGTGAACGCTGTTAACCTGATTGTCACCGAATGTGTGTGACGACATGGTTCCCTATGTCACCAAGTTGACCCACACTCTCCGCGGCGTCTGCTGGGCCCGCTCCCTCGGGGTTGTGACCGACTGCTGGGCGCGTCCCGTCCGGACTACTGGCGAGCGGTGATGTGGTGACCGTGATGTTTGTGGCCTGGCTGCAAGGTCCTGTGACCAAGGCTGGGCGGCTGAGATCATGCCTGGGGATCGGAGCAGCACGCCAACATGTATAGGGCTAACACGTTCGGCGTCAGAGTCGGCTTAATGTCTTGGAAGGTTTTATGAATGATGACGTCAAGCGCGCGTTTGTCACGCTCTACTGACGTGATGTGCGCATCAGATTCCAGTGATGTCGCCTGTGCGGTGACGTGCGTTCGTCGCGTTGAACTTGCATTGCTCACTGCTACCGATGCCGACAAGTTGATTGCGCTCGTTGAAGTTTGGCTGTCCGTGATCTGGCACTGATGCGATTTCCTTGTTTGTCATTGGCGCTGTGATCTGCTCCGTGTGTGCCGCAGCATGGCGCTAACACCGCACTGCACGGTGCTGCTCTGGGCTTCCACACCCCAGTCTGGGCGGTGTCTCTGAGTCAGCGACAGGGAGCGGTGGTTGGCCCACGGAAGCGATAGTTCGTTCAGGTATCGCACGCTATTGCTTTCTTCGGGCTGGAGGAGCCCGCTTCGAAAACAGGGTTGTTCCGTTTTTGTTATTGAGTGTTTGTGCTCGTAGAATTTTGCGAAAATAAATACATGATAATTGTAAAACTGTGTGACCTTTTGCCGACGACGATTTGGCTTCCACGCAACAGAGAACAATCGTTAACGTGGAACAATCGTGCAAATCAAACCAATCGAACAAACCGAATCGATCAAAATCGACAACAAAGTCGAACAAATCGGGAACAATCGCGAACCTTAATTCACGATTGTCATTGCAGGGAGGAATGTACACTGTGCGATCATTTAAAGATGCCTCTTGAGCCGTTTAGGCAACGGGAAATTTTTGGCGTCGAATATTGTGGTTTTTGTCACGAGACAATCTTAGGGCCCTGCGCCAAGACCCATTTGCGTATCACTCGACTGGGCTGCGTGATCCTGCACAACCAAGTGGACGACAATCTAGAGCCTTTGCTTTACTTCGCACCACACAATTTTTGGCGGCATCCACGCAGTGTTGCGATACACCTGGGCATCAACAAGGTAATGTACATTTTGTCACATTGATAGGAAGCATTATTCCGGGTCCGACAATCGTCAGGTGAGACCCAGAAATCAAGAATAAAACGGCAGTTTGTTTCGATACATTACCAGAGCCTTCTTCTGGTTGACGTAATTTGTTTTGAATTAAATGCATTGGAGCCGGTGTTTGCCGTTTAGTGGATGGCATAAGGTATTGGCGGATGGTCGCAACACGTCCTGGTGAGGCGGCACATCGCGAGGACTTCAAATTAAGCGGTCATTGGGAAACGGGTCTGGCGTGTTTGACACCGAAGAGGCGGCCGCAGCTCACCGTTGTAGCCCCCCTGCCTAGAATGAACTGGGAATTCAGTCAGGGGCCTGTGCACAAATGCAATGTTAGTAGGTCATGCAGTCGTTAGATGAGAAGTGCCAAAAGTGGGCAAAGCAAAGTTCCCGCACCTTGAAACTTTGCACGTTGCGTATGAATGCCGAGTTCAGTTTCATCTGTCGTTAGGGTCCGATCGAATTTCATGCAATTACGGAGAAACGTAGGAACCGGATGAAGTAACGGAGGTGGGGACCGGAAAGGTCGCCAGGCGCTCCATAATCATCCAAATTTGCGTGAAACCTAATGAAACCGCAGGGTAGTGAGCAAAAAGTCTTCAAGACGCAATCCTCACTCCAAAATGTTGAACTATTATAAGTGTAGTGTACGCGAATGCACGAGCGGTGATTTCGTAACACTGACCTTTCTGTAGTATTAGTTCACCACTATGGCGTACCAGCGTCCTCAGCACTACGCGAAATACAGTCTTCCGGTGAACCTTGGTTTGTGAGGTTTTGTACGCAGCTGTCACGTCAAGCCGCGCGTGGCGAACATTACGGTAAGCTCCTGGGATGTCTCCATATCCTCTGCCGAGTAGGCATTTCGGGTACCATTCCAGTGCCATCAACTCCCAAGAAATGATAGCGCCATGAGCAGCACTTGCGATACTTTGCGCGGACACCTCGAGACACTATTGACCATTGATGGTGATGTGCAAGTTAAATCTGTTTTCGCTCCTTGTGTTTTCCCTTGACACATCGGGGGCTCCTTCTCCTACTTAGAGAAGATCGGCCAAATCCGGGGAGAAACCCGCTCACTGACGTTTTTTAACCGCAGGCTTCTTCATTTCTCATCGTTCAGGCCCCCGTTTCCTTTTACTTGTTTACATAATTACGCCCCTGCTTGCGACTGAAGACCGGGCAAAAGTTTTGCGCCGTCCTACATGAGCGTAACTCTACAGTTCACTTGAATGCAGCTGCATCTACAGACTACAGCCCGCGAGAGGGCTTTCCGATGACTGGGTTTAATCACTAGCAGAACAGCAAATTGGGTTGCATAGGCAGTAAATGTTGTTTCGTTAGGCTTGGGCATAACCACAGGGCTCTGGCCCTGTGCGTTTCTCAGCTGATCCGGACGAAGACAGATGATCGCTGCGCGTGTGCAGAAGGTGAAAGTGTGTTCTCATTTCTCAAGGCCCTAGAGCAGAACAGATCATTTCTGATGCTGCTTGTGTGGGGTGGTGGAGGGTTAAGCTCAGTTTTCTCTATTTAACCTTTTAGATGTCAGAAACACGATCTTCTCTTCTGCTCCTGCTCAGAAAACAACTGGCTGGTAAGCCCAGGTTTTTATATCATGTCACGTTGTGCTGCCTGTATTCACAAACTATAAGGTCATAGTTTCTGCATTGCTTTTGCCCATTTTCAGGCCGAGCAACAAAAACTTCTGGGTAAATCACACATACTGTTACCAGTAATATTAGAGAAAGGGATTGCACTTGATTAATCTCATCCGCACAAACACCTGAACTGTAACTCCGTTTCCATGAGGAAGGCTGATCGGTGATGTCAGAATGGTCATTGGTTAACTGTGTTTGTCACTAATTGGGCTCTGAGCATGGTTTGCCACATGTCTAATACATTATGTTCTATGTGTTTCGAAAATGAATTAGAAGATGTAAAGATCATTATTTTTTACAAGTAGTACACAGTCTACAATTTTTGGAGGAAGGTGGGCATCCATCAATCATGTCATACATAAAAGGGAAAGGGTTAATGGAGTGTAACAGAAGTGTTGCAATGCAGGGAGGTGAGGTTCTTGGCAGCCTAACATTACAGCCATATCTGGTTGTAAACCATGCAGAAATGGATTAAAAGAACTTGAAACTTAAGCTGGATGCAATTGGCTTCCTGTTTTGACAAGGAATGCATCTAGCAGAAGATGACAGGCATCCCTAACTTAATTAGATGCCAAACAGATGTTTCTTTTTGTTATGTCATTCTTGACACAGCAGTAGGGGAGGGGGACTATAATATACCCACCATAACCAATATGTAAGCAGTTGGAGAAGGGATGGCAACAATGATCCAAACAGATACCATAGTTTATAGGTAGCCCCATACATCATTGGGGATTCAATGCAAGAGCCTTCATGGGTTTCCATGTAGGGAGCCAATGTGTGCTGATCCATAATACTGGGACCCTGCTATGTTATGTTTCTCTGTGTGCATGAACAGTTAAACTTTTATAGTTTGTTTTGTCATATATGGTGTTAAAAAAGAAGCATGCTGGTGTGGCTCTTGGGGTTTGCCTGGATATTGTGTTTGTCTGACTTTATATTTTGGCATGCATTTGTTGTGCTTTATATGGTAATGTGGAATGTATGAAAAAGCAGAAAAAATCAATTTACGCGAAAGGAAAATGACGAGATATCAAACTAAAGGTACTAGTCAGCATATTCTCTGAGAACTGAGCTGTAGCTACATATCCCTCAAGATATTTTGATTTAGTTTTAATTTCTGGATAACTTGTACAGTATCAAGCTAGAAGATGATTATTGCATCATAAGTAGGTGATTATGCTTTGTACGTGACATCCATCTTGGGTGGGTTTGTTGAGGTTGGCTTCACATATTTTTATAGCTTTTGTTGTAGTAAACTGACTTGTATGATTATTTGGGTGTGTTATTCTTTGACATTTGTGTTGTTGACTCATTGACTCAGCTGTCTGTACCCTGTGTACTGATGCATTCACCTTGATAAAAATGTGCTATTAGTAAATTATCAGTATGTGTTATTGATGTGCTGCATGGACTGATCAAACAAAATACCTTTATTATAGTATATGCCCTGTAGCCCAATTGGCTTACCTTGTTGTCTTTAAAAGAAGTGCTCACTTAATCCCAAAAATTCCCAACCAGTCACACTATGATGTGACAATGCTACTGTCAACCAACAGAGCAAGCCCAGGACTTGTCATCACTGTCAGCAGTTTAGAAAATGAAGAGGTTCACATGGATTGCATGCATTCCTCAGTGGCGGTCCTTGGTGTTAATGTATTCAGACAATGGTGTGATGTCATGTATTGATTGACATCCCTGTGTGGTTGTTTTAAACCTTTCCTGAACTGTGATATTACTTCAATTATTATCATAGCTACATGGTATCACCAAAGGAAGACATCACCACCTCTCTTTGACACTTTGTCCCATCCCATTGTCAACAATAATTGCATTGTATGAGCAGGTTGACCATCAAAATGATCAGCTGGACATCCAAGCACCAGCAGCTCTCCTTTAGCATATAATCCCAGTGACACCCATGGCAGTATTGCATTGAGTCTTATCTTATGGAATATGCTCTTTTTGTGGTAATGTCTTCTTGTGATGAAATTTTTTGATGGTATTGAATAGGGTTGTCACTCTAGAACTAAAGAACAATCCTGCTGCTATGTGCTCATTGGGCCCAGTTGATAATGGTGGTATTCCACCAGATGTAAAGCATTGGTGGTGCACATGTCAGTGCTGAATCCATACTCCTGTTGTGGACATTGCTTTGCTTCCTGTGAGTTAAATGTGTTTTTAATGAAATCCCATGATGATGAAACATGCTCCTGATTTCAGAACTGAACATGAACCCCGTCAATGGGTTCTCAGCAGGCCTTATTGATGACAATGACATCTTCAAGTGGGAAGTTCTCATCATAGGCCCTTCAGACACACTTGTAAGTAATAATCCATCAGTTGGCTACAAATTGCCTTTTATAATAGTCCATATTCACTTTCTAGGCACAGAAGGTTTTGTCAGAACTGCCTCAACTTGTCTTAGAATATGTCACAGATCTGCTTGATGGGAACAAGTTGCATTCATGCCGTGGATGAGTTAAGTGCTTGTTCCAGCGAGGGCGGCTTCTTCAAGGCTCACCTTCACTTTCCGAAGGAATATCCCCATTGGCCTCCAAAGATGAAGTTCATCACCGAAGTGTGCCATCCTAACAGTGAGTATCATGTACATGTTTTTGTTGCAGTGTAATCAGTCCAGTGTGGCATAAAAGGTAGTGTCAGTTCTGGTCGGCAATGTCACGGACATCGACAATTACAATCATCTGTTCTCCAGAGCGTTCACAGCTCTGCTGGGTCAGCTACAAGACGTGGCCCAGTTTTTTCCTTCCAAAATGTGCTCACACTGACAGACTGGCATAAACTGTCTGTCTCGGCATTAGGTGTTGCTGCGATGACTTGACCGCTAACACGGAAAATAATGCCGAATCCGTCATCAGTGGTACTGTAAACCTTTTTTTTGAAGATTTTAAGCTTCATCCTTATTGTGAGGAAAGGCCCGTCGTGGCTATAGGAACGTTTTTAAAGCGGTTGAGTCGACCTTATTTTTTCATGACATGCATATGCACATATGCACATCACCGTCGGTGTTAAGAAATGGGGACGCCTATTCTCTCACCCTGCGTGGCCAAGCTTACCCCCACCCGCCCCCACGCCTCGTGACCACCACTCTGCGGCCAACAGTCGAGAAGAACGGTGACGTGTGCATCTCGATCCTGCACGAGCCCTGCGACGACACGTGCGGCTACGAGAAGGCGTCGGAGCGACGGCTGCCCGTGCACACGGTGGAGACGATTCTCATCTCGGTGATCTCCATGCTGGCCGACCCCAACGACGAAGGCCCGGCCAACGTGGACGCCGCTGTGAGTGTCGCCGTCCCGTGACCTGCGGTGGGGCGCGGTTGCGGCTGAGGTCAGTTGGAGGATGTCCTGGTCAGTCTGCGCGCGTGACCAGCGTCCAGCACGAGCACACTTCAGCTCGTCTGAGGCTAACAGGGCGGCATGCAGTGTGATTGTGGGATGACGTTTTCCTCCGTTTTTTTTTTTTTTACAAAACTTCATGCCGTACTTCTCGGTGGCGCATTTCTTTGGATACGAAATGTCATATTGCATGCTTTGACGTTCTCCATTTGCACTCAAATTTGCCTACGCGCAAGTTGACGTGCGAATAGATCTTTGTATATAAATTTGGAACGCGCAATACGAACCGCCACATATTGACGTGCTCGTGTAACTCCATAAACGTGCTTCTGGTTTGTCATGCGCGCAATTTATTGCATCCTGTTTCATCTTACGGGCATTCGTACGTGTCACTATCCCCGTATATGCAATGCGCGTAGCAGCTTTGCGTATTTGCAGTCTTTCGCATCCATTTTCTGCGTAACACATTTCATCGCGGCAGTCTTAGGCTTCACTTCGGAGATAATCGAAAATGGATGAAAAGTCGACCAAATTATTGAGTCATAGTAGAATTGATTCCTCACATTTATGTACCTGGGGCGGAGTTGGAGTCCCCGCAGGGGCACCGGCTTCGGCCGGTGTAGGGGACTAGCGCCCCCTCGGGTGCCAGCTCCGGTAACGGGTGGACAGCGCAAGCTGTTCCTGTCAGGGCGTAGCGACCCTGCCGGCACGTGAGCTCCTGCTCCTTGTCCCGCCCGTTCCCTCCACATTACCCACACTCCCGCATCCGACCCTATCACCACTCCTCATCCTCGTTTTATCGGGGTGCCGTGCGTGTCGTGCGGGTTAGTCACGGCGCGTCCCAACACTCCGCTTTGGCCAGGATATCCGGGGTCGTGGGGGCCCGTGGGGCCCCACACGGGTCTAGCGGCTTGTCGCTCGCGGTGCCGTTGGGTGCTCTTTGCGGGTTTCCGCTTGGGGCGCCTGGCCACGCGCAGCGGCTTAAGGGGTCAAGGGGCGGCGGCGCTGAACCACGGTTAGGACGGGGAGGGGTGTCCCCGGTTACACCTGGCCGTGTGGGAGGCGTCGCTCGCCCCGTATAGCACCGGGGTAGTCCTGGCGGTGACCAGCTCCCGAGGGAGTGTTGGGCCATCCCCCAGTTGGGCTCCGTGGTGGGTGGAGAGCCCCGGTGCCGAAATGAAAACCTCCTTTTATGGCTTCTTCTCACCTTAAAAACACCCGTCCCCCGAAAGGGGGCGGACCTCAATAAGCTCAGGGTGCAGAGACGAATCTGCGCCCCCCGGTCCGCGGATCCTGATCTTTCTGAGGACCTCACCGGAATGCTGACCTGGTGACAGTTTGATCCGAGTCACTTTACGACAGAGGCCGTCGGAGACACCTAGCTGCGTCTTGACCTGCGCCTCCAAGAACTTGCACTATTTCGTCAGGGCCAAAGACTGTTTTCGCTCTACGCGCTTCTCGTCAGCCAGCCTGGAGTGACGTCACAGCACGCGATGTGACGCAATGATGTCGGGTGGGGATACAAAGCACTACGGCGATGTTCAGATGCAGTGACCTGCACCTACCTACCCGACACCGGTCACCTCCGCGTCCCAGGCCGGAGCTGCCGGCAGATGGCCGAACGGGCCAACGACGGCCACAAGGGAGAGGGGGATCAAGAACGGCAGGGAAGTGCATCGGTTGGTTTGAGAAGGGCCAGCGAGCAGACGTGCAACTCACTTGGTTTTGAGAGAACAACGATCTTTTTAGTAACTCGCAGTGCGGGTTTAGGAAAAACCGTTGTACGGTGGACCACATTTTAGCCCTGGACACTACGGTTCGTAAGTCTTTTCAAGAAAAAGCGCATATGGGGAGTGTTTTTTGACATTGAAGGCATCTGTGACACCACATGGCGCCATGGTATTCTTCAAAAGCTTTTTAAATATGGTATACGTTGTGTTCTTTGGCAAGTGATTACACCCTTCATTGACACCTCGCTTACGGAAATTAGGAAAGCAGATATCACACCACACCTAATGAGATCCAGGGCTTTTGAGCTTCTGGCGTGTTATGAAAGATACACCCTGACGTACGCAGACGGATCCAAAACCTCGGATGGCGTGGGTTGTGCTTTCGTCAGCGGTTCCGTCACTCGATCGTTCTCGTTACTGGCCCACTCGTCAGTTTTCAAAGCGGAATTAATTGCGATCACCAAAGCGTTATGTTTCATAGAAGTGGGTGAAGAATCTTTACACGCCATTTATACAGATTCACTGAGCAGTCTCTCTGCACTGCTGTCTTTTTATCCATCATGTTCCGTTATACAGGACATTTTATCACGCCTGACACAGTTGAATCGGGTTGGAAAGAGAGTTGCCCTGTGCTGGATCCCCAGTCACGTTGGTATCGTGGGCAACGAGTCGGCTGATGCCGCTGCCAAGCGAGCAACGGTGGCACCATATACCCGGTTTTTGCTTATCCCTGCTAGAAATTTCTACCCGGCAGTCAAGACCTTCCTGAGAAGCAAATTGCAGCATTGTTTGGACCAGGTGGGCGGCAATAAGCTCAGGGCGATACAAACCGAGTATGGCTTGTCGTCATGCTCTCGCAGTGTGCGGTGGTTTTATGCAGGTTGCGCATTGGGCATACGTATGTCACACATGGCCATTTGTTGCATGGAGCCGACAGACCCGCATGTCAATGGTGTGGTGCCGTTCTCACTGTCCACCATGTCATTATATCATGTCCATGCCTCATCGAAGAACGACGACGTCACTTTGGTCCGCAGGCTTCGCCCCTGACTTTTTCCATGTAGAGATGTGCTCGGGGACAGTTCTTCCTTTTTTGATTCCAAACAACTTTTTTCGTTGGTAAAATATATTGATTTTCAAGTCATTTTCACACCATACTTATTAAGTAAAAGCGTCGTTATGGGCGCAAAATGACCAATGAAGTCGACGCGCCCGAAAACACCAATGAACGAACGAACTCACCCATGGTCTTCAAGGATCATATGCTCGAATTAACATTGGTGGCGTTTCCATGTCCGGCGTAGTGACGTGCTGTCCGTTTTCTTGCTTTTCAGCTTGCTGGGTTTGCTTGCTGAATGAAACGCCGTACACGACTTCCTGTTTTGATGGTGGCTGTCTTGCGAAGTAATTCGGGTCTGATGATCAAATGACTCGTTTGCTTTTCCGTTGGTTTGCTTGCATATTCGTTGATTGGGCGTGGTTTGCTGTTCCCCTTTCGTATTGCTGACCTGCTTTTCGTCTTGTCAAAACACATTTCTTGAACATCTTCGTCATCATGTGCACCGTTCTTTCGAAACAGACAACACAATTTGCTCTCTGTGTGGCGCTGGCCCTCCCGTCCGGTTTGCTGTCATGTGCTGTTCATTCTGGCCAGGCCAGTGCGGATGCGCGGTTCTATTCTGTGCTGGTGTATCTTTTTTGGTATCCAGTACCCTTAGCCGCATCCAGAACAAATGCCAATGACTATCGCGAGAACTGTCAGTTCTTTTTCGCACGAGTGGCCCATTCTCCTGTGGGTGAAATCACGTCATCGTTTTGCGGGGCTGGAACGCAGGTCGTGAATAAGTGCAGACAGAGAACGCACAGGTGCTATGAATTACCCCGGACGGCGGACCACCCATCGCGAAAAGCTCCATCTTGAGAGGCGCTGGGATGGCCGTGTTCGGGACGCGACCAGGTACGCCGCCCGGGCGGTGATGCGCTGTGGCGGTCACGGCCAGGCACGACCTGAGCTTTAGGGGTCGGTTAGGGACATGGCGCGCGTGTCCGGAACGAGTGCTCGGGCCATACGTGACAAGGAAAAAGCCGCGCTTGGTTAAGGAGAAAGCAGCGTATGGCCCGAGGCGGATAGATACACCGTACGCCACATCCGAAGCTAACCTATTTATTCCCGGTTCCGAGATTCAAAAAAAAAATTGTAAAATACACGAATTGCAAGAATGACCTACTTGCACATTGAAAAACAGCGGGTGGCGGATGCGGCGGATGGATACGCATTTCGCATTTCCTCGTCACGTAAATGTGTCCTGAAGCTTGAATATTTCTCTCACTTCACTTTACGACAGAGGCCGTCGGAGGCACTTGCCTGTATCTTGACCTGCGCCTCCAGGAACTTGCACCGCTTGTTCAGGGCCAAAGACTGTTTCCGCGCTACGCGCTGCCCCGCCGGGGCACCGGCTTCGGCCGGTGTAGGGGATTAGCGCCCCCTCGGGTCCCAGCTCCGGTAACGGGTGGACAGCGCAAGCTGTTCCTCTCAGGGCGTAGCGACCCTGCCGGTACGCGAGCTTCTGCTCCTTGTCCCGCTCGCTCCTCTTCCCATTACCCGTTCTCCGTCATCCAGCCCTATCACCACTCCTCATCCTCGTTTTATCGGGGTCGCCGTGCCCCCTCGCCCACGTTCCCGGGTTCATGGGATCCCTCTGCCTATCGAGTGTAAGAGATACACTACCGGTTGCAGAGTTGCCAGCGAGTGCATGGGACCTACCATTGCATGTAGAGAGGTCAGGGAGACAAGGAAGAGAGATCAATGGGTGTTGAGTTGGGTCACGCGAGCGACGATCAGCCTGTTTGTTGAAAGAGAAGAAGGCGTCACCGGTCGTGCGCACGTGCGGTGTGACAACTGCCCGGAGCGGCCAGTGGCTGTTCACTCTCGCGAGCCGTGAACGCTGTGAGCCTGATTGTCACCGAATGTGTGTGACGACATGGTTCCCCATGTTACCAAGTTGACCCACGCTCCCCGCGGCGTCTGCTGGGCCCGCCTCCCCGGGATTGTGACCGACTGCTGGGCGTGTCCCGGGCCCGCCTCCCCGGGATTGTGACCGACTGCTGGGCGTGTCCCGCGCGGACCACTGGCGAGCGGTGATGTGGTGCCCGTGATGTTTGTGGCCTGGCTGCAAGGTCCTGTGACCAAGGCTGGGCGGCTGAGAACATGCCTGGGGATCGGAGCAGCACGCCAACATGTATAGGGCTAACGCGTTCGGCGTCAGCGTCTGCTTAATGTCTTGGAGGGTTTTATGAATGATGACTTAAGTGATGCCCTGTGGCAGTCACGGCCCGGCACGACCTGAGCTTTAGGGGTCGGTCTGGGGACATGGCGCGCATGTCCGGAACGAGTGCTCGGGCCATACGTGACAAGGAAAAAGCAGCGCTCGGTTAATGAGAAAGCAGCATATGGCTCGCGGTGGATAGATATATCGTACGCCACATCCGAAGCTAACCTATTTATTCCGGGTTCCGAGATTACAAAAAAAGTTGTAAAATACACGAATCGCAAGAATGACCTACTTGCACATTGAAAAACAGCAGGTGGCGGATGCGGCGGATGGATACGCATTTCGCATTTCCTCGTCACGTAAATATGTCCTGAAGCTTGAATATTTCTCTCACTTCACTTTACGACAGAGGCCGTCGGAGGCACTTGCCTGCATCTTGACCTGCGCCTCCAGGAACTCGCAATGCTTCGTCAGGGCCAAAGATTGCTTCCGCGCCCCCCGGTCCGCGGATCCTGATCTAATCCGCGGATCCGCTAAATCACTGCATTCACGACACCGCAGTGGATCCTCTCGTCATTGGGTGTGAAAATGTTGTGGATGATTGTCCGTTCCACCGAACGTGCATGCGCCTGGTTGTGGTCCCTCGTACTGGAGCCTGTTGCCATGGCAATTTGCGTGCTCCTGGAACTGTCGGGTTGAACTCTGAGGACCTCTAACGCGTCCGTGGACTAATTTGCGTGCCTGCCATGCAGTAGGTTTTCCCGAGACCGATGCGAGACTCGACAACCCAGCGCCTGCTGCGTGCGCCGAGCCGAGGGGCAGGGACAGGGTCGCCGCTGCCAACGACAGCCACACTTTATTCAAGGCCACACTGGCTGTGCAAGAATTT